CCACACAAACGCCCACATCCCACACTCACTCACACTCACACTCACACTCACACTCACACCCACACCCACACCGACACCCTTAAAGTTAAAGAAGCTTTTTTTTCCAAAGAAGAGTTTTTCTAAGAAAAAATTGATATTGTATAAAGTTGAGTCGAAGATTGGTGGAGCCGAGTAATGTGAATCTGAAATCTGTTTTTCAAAGTTTTGAGTTTGATTTTTCGTAAATTTTTTTTGTAAAAACATCACTTTTCTCATCAACTTTTTTTCTGAGAAAAACCAAGTTACTCACAAAAAGCTCTTCTTTTAGTGGCAAAACCATGCCACAAATTTCGAAAATTAGGTTTTAGATTCGAACTCCCCGAGCCCAACGACGTCCGATTTAACTTTATAAAAAAATTACTGTTTTCGTACAAAAGTTCTTCTTTGGTATCAAAGCTAGTTTAACTTTAGAGTAAAGGTAAAGTGCTTCCCCTACTGGTGCATGTCACGTCATTACTTAGCTTTAAATAATTTAATTGCTAAGCAACCATAGGCGGGAGAGCCATTAGGCCTGGGTAGGCGCAAGCCTACCCTAGATTGAAGTAGGGTGGGCTTCAGTAGGCTTAAAATAGAATAAATCAAGGCTTGGATAGGCTCGATAAAATTCTAAACTCCTTTGTTGTTGTTGTTGATTTTCTATATTCTTCTGACAGTTCTAACAGGAGATGTGTTGTCAGAGAATGTGACGCCGTATTTTCACTAATGATAAAGCCGCATTATAGAAAATATGTATTGCGTTTTTTCTTGCTCTGCACTGACATCCAAATCTTCATTCTTGATATATGATCGGACTTGATTCTTGAGAACTTCTATTTAAAGCGATTCTTTTAGATATTCTTATCAGATTTCCGCTTAATATTCCGATACTATTTAGACAAAGAACATATTGTTCTTTCAACATCAGAAAATCATTACTGGAATAGTGTTGGTTAAAGTCTATCTTTTTGTTGAAATTTCATCTAGAAGTTCGAATAATACTGACGAAAAATAGGAATTTATGCACAGATGCATAATAATTTGAACTTCGACAGCTTCTCATAAACTTTACCAAATATTCGTTTTGGTTTTCTTCCAAAAACCAACTATTATGAAAGTTCTTTTCCTGGCAGATATTTTAATTTTTTTTTAGGCTCCTTTTTTTCTTTCAGAGGCTTTTTCATCTATTCTGTTAGTTTCTCTTGTACTGGAACACAATGTCACATCTGACAGCTAGTTATACGACCTGTAAAGAGTTAACATTGAGATCGAAAAGGTATAACATTTACT